CCAGAGCTACAGGGCACATCCTACCCAATCACAGTAGTCACCGACCATGCTAACCTGAAATATTTCATGACGACTAAACAACTGTCACAACGCCAAGTGAGATGGAGCGAATTCCTCTCTCAGTTCGACTTTATCATTAAGACAGTTCCAGGGAAGGAGAACGGTAAACCAGACGCACTCACTCGACGCTCTCAAGACCTACCTCAAACGGAAGACGACGACCGCCTAAAAGCACGCTATAAATCACTCCTAAAGCCCTACAACTTAGACCCGGAACTGCGAAGCCAAACACAGCCTGACCCAGAATTGTCCGAGCTATTTGCAGACGCTTCCTGGGAACGAGAGATTACACTTTGCCCTACAACCCTAGAACCTAGCCAGGCTGAGCCTCTAGACCACAAAATCACAAGACTCCTCGACAAAGGCCTTCAACAAGACTCGTGGTTTCACAAGACACGAGACGAGATGCTGAAGCCAGCTGGCATACCTCACTCAAGAGATATAGCACTATCTGAATGCTGAATCAAGGAAGGTAGACTATACTTCAGAGACAGAATTTACGTGCCGGACAGCTTGGACCTGGAAACAGATTTACCTAGCTTACGAACTTTCCTTCTACAATCAACTCACGACAGCGTTGAGTCAGGGCACCCTGGGAAGAACAAGCTATACGAATTAATATCTCGCTTCTACTGGTGGCCAAAACTAAGCCACGATGTTACTCGATTTACTCGTAACTGCCTTAGTTGTGCGAGAAACAAGACCTCAAAACTCCGTTACCAAGGCACCCTCAAACCACTCCCTGTACCACTACAACGTTGGAAAGACCTCTCTGTTGACTTCATGGGCCCAATATTAACTACAACGAAGGGCTACAACGCTATAATGGTCGTAGTCGACAGGCTCTCCAAAGATCGACACTTTATACCTGTGAGAGGCCAGACCTTGAACAACTCAAAGGTGAGGTTTTGTGAGGGTTGAAACCCATGATGGAGGCTCGGGCCATGCCCTCGCTAAGCACTGACCAAAGTCCCCGCTCAGCACTGGCCATTCCCCTACTGCCAAGCAAGTCTCTGCTGTTCCATACTTTTCTGTTCTATTCTTTTGACATCATGTATTCGTTAGGCAGCTTCCTGGAATATTCCAGAGACTCTTCCTCTCTCTCTATATAGAGGAAGAGCTTGCATGTATGTAGTCATCACGCACTTCTTAATTGAATATTCGAAACCACACCTTTGAGCTATTCGAGGTCTGGCCTCTCACAGATACAGATGTTAACTGTGAAATGGCCTAGGTATCTAGAGTGGACTAACGTACTCTGGGATTATTCAAGGCATATAAACTACTAAAGTCTAGCTGATAGTTTTTTATATAACATGGCTATTCATGCTGAGGCTAAAAAAAGCTTCCCATTAATCTGCCGGACCAGGCAGACTTTTCCCCAGTCATATGATTCAATTCCATGCAACTTCCACAGAATAGAGGGCATGGAATGGAATGGAATTCCCAATGCGGAACGCTGCCCTTAGTAAACTAGTATCTTAATCGATACCCCAATGTACGGCATGGCTTAATATGTAAAACTTTACGGGTAAAAATTATGATAGACCTCAAAACACTAAGTTTCTCAAAGGCGTTAGATGTAAGGGAAGTCATAAAGAACTTTTTTCGTCAGAGTTCATCTCGTGATCAGCCCCTTCTTCAAGCATTTGTAAGTAACAAACAACAAATCCCACATAAAGTATTCCTGGGGCCACTTTGGCACTTTCACTCTCACAAGTTTTCTCACAAGTTTGCAACAGAAATCAAATGAATCATCAGGTGAGAATAGCGGGTGACACCTAGTCAATCAAAACGGTTTGCTTGTATGAATATGAAACTTATAGAAGTGGTGCATCACCGCAAGCGAACACTCCAGACCCTTCACAGCTTAGAATTCTTTCCTCTACCATCTACGTTCAACTCTATCTTTTCGATAGAACTTTATAGACAATGGCCAATGAGAATAATAGTATTAAGGACTAATTTTCACAGTCTGGCTGTGAATCCGTCATTCCCACGCTTCAAACCACCCTCAATGAGGGCGATACCAATCAAAGCCACCCCTCTCAGGATGTCCAGCTTAACCAAAATGGCTTCACCCACAATTTGCCCTACTCTTCATTGTAACGTATACATAACGTATACATCTAATAGAAGGCAGAAACGGTGAAAATCCTGCTTCACCATGGATTTGAACGTAGTTCTCATGGCGGAGACACACCTGGTTTGGCCTAGTCTGGCTTTCCCCCGCCATGGATGTTGCTATGTATCCTATTAGACTATGTGTAGGGAGCCTTTGGGATTCTCTCAAACAACTCACCCTAAGAAATATACCAACAACTCCATCTCTGCAGACAACTTCGTCGACAAGGTCTCTCTATCTTAGTCTTGTATCAATTTCAACACAACTATACAAGAGTAGCGCAACGCAGACCTGAGAAACTAGATCCTCTTTCAAATATCTCTCTGGTAAGTCCTTTGGGAAAGTTGTGTAAGGGGAGCTAATATGTGGTTCCTCTTTCTATAGAGCATACACCTCTCCTCGTGAAACACAACGTCAACTTGTTGTACTGTCTCTTCCGCTTGGGGGAGGTACGCTGCCGTTAAGTAACCGCTACTATAGCTTGTGAGCTTATTCAACGTAGGAAGAAAGCAGAAAGCCCTCAGGTAAGAAACTCAAACCCAAGAATATAGTTGATATCACAGGCTTATGAAAAGTCGGTCAGGGATATATAGACACCATCAAGATGTCTCACGACCTCAACTCAAACTCCACGCCTGCCTGGGCCACTCCAAACTGGAGAGATTCCAACCCGGATGCATCGAAAAGTCGCAGCAGTTCTTCGTACGAGTTGCCTAGAGATAACGTGGGTTCAGAACAGCAGAATATCAAGGACGAGGAACTTGAAGAATGGCAAGACAATAGTGACGATCTGCCAACAATCCCATCCTCCGGAAATAGGCAAGGGTTCCACACCCAGAGATCTACAAAGCAAGCTCGAGAACTTATCCATTCACGAAAGTTCAATCAAACGCTTCAGAAATCCCTCGAACGCGAGCAGCAACAGCGAGACAACCTCGAGCGAAGCAACCATGATCTCCAAGCAAAGCTTGCAGCCGCTGAGAAGCAGCTGCAAGAAGCCACAGAAACAAACTCCACTTTCGAGGCAAAACTTACTGCTGCCAAGGCAGAGAACGAGGAACTACGCAATCTGTACCAAGAGGAAATGAGAAAAAAGACAGCGAAAATCGAAGAGCTTCATGAGAAAGAGAATGACTTGAAGCAAGACCTTTTTGATGCCAACCTGGAGCTTGAGACAGTAAAACAGAACTCAAGAAAGAGCTTTTGAAATTCCATCTCGCGTCTGAGGACGAGAAGACTGAATTGAAGAAGAAGCTATTTGAATCTGATCTCGAACTTGAGAACGACAGATTCTTCCAGGGAGATTTCTTAAATGAAGAACCGTCTGTTGATTGTAAATCCTTGCAATCGAAGCTCAACCGTGCCAATAGGACTATCAAGGGTCTTCGGGAAAAGATTGAGCTTTGGAGGCCAATGGTAATAAGCTGCTATTTCATTCGGCATAGATTCTTAATGTCAAAAGAAGACCCACGGGATCGTAACGTGCGAGATTGTGGAAACAGATCGGCACACGACGGTAACATCATTGTTGATGCCAGCTTCTTTAAAGATGAATTCTTTCATACCAAGGAACATAGAGAAGCATTCCAGAAAAAGTACGGTCGGGGTATCTCGTTGTTCCTTGACCGCAAGCTCGATTTTTCCGTTCTAAAAAAGCTGCGAGTCGTTTGCGGGATATTAAACCTACACGCAACAATGGTCGAATACGACTCCTTCGGTCCCCATAGCTTGGACCTTGAAACTGACAGGGAATTCTTGGTTTTGTACCAGGAGTTCAAAGACAAGTGGTTTAGGGGTTCTCGACGGTATAATTCAGAAACGCTGGCTAGTTTGGAAGAGACTCCGGAAGTTATCAGCCTTCATGAGCGAATGAGAGTGAAGATGAAGTCCATTGCCAGACTATCAACAGAGCGCCGCAGACCCCAAGGCCTGTACGAGCCGAGAAAACAAGGTCGAGACCAGATGAATGTGGCTATAGAGAAGGAGGTTGAGACAGATGAATCTTGGGCCAAAGCTGGAGATGGTGAAAACATTGAGAGTGGTGGGACTACACAGAGCGGTAAGTCTATGGAGAACAATGAAGATGTTGAGGGCACTGTATGGAGTGTGTCTTGAGTGTTTTGGGTTAGGTACGTGGCGAGCGGATGTATGGGTGGTTTTTTCTTCTTCTTCCAAACCAAATATCATAGAAGTGGTGCCCGTAGGAAAAGAATATACTGAGTAACTCCAACACACAATGTAAAATAGTGACAGTGAATACTACCAGCTTCTAAAATAGAATATTTCCCAGTTATTACAAATGTTTTGCACAATTTAGATCATTACTGTTATTAAGCCACCGAGCTTTCCAAAACAATTAGGTAATCATTTCAAAGTTAAGTTATCTTGGAAGGTCTACAAGGCGTATCCACAGGACCGTGGGGCAAAAGTGGCTCTTGTACTCCTCCACCAGCCAGAATCGTCAGTCTGAAAAGTCCTTGAGGTTTCATGTCCTATTAGGCTCTATTGCACTAAAGCTACAGCGTGTGTGCCCTGAAGTAAACGTATGATAACATATGCTAGCGCATTCGATAGGAAATAAGCGATTTGGTCCCTAAACCTATATCCCTTCGTGCGGAATACACATAGCGCCCAGGCTTGGTATAGGGCTTTAAGCGAGCTGTGGCGCCGCTCTACTTAATTAGGAAGTGCCAAGTATCAAAACGCCTCGTCTCGTAACTGGTAGCATACTTATACTTAGATAGAAATCACTGAAATTATAGAATTATTAAACTAGCAAAAAACATTAGTTTAAGTTACTCTATTTTTATAGTAAATCATAGATTTACAACGTTTCTATAAGTGGTTTAATAAATAGCTATAACTTAAGATATAACTACTACTCGAGTGTAACGAATACTCAAACTGGCTAACTAAACTTGGCTGGGTGTTCGCTGGTTGGTATGCTATGATAAGAAGAAGACTATCGGGTTGTTCACTTGGAAGTGAACTCGTTACTTGTATCAAAGACGTCAAAACTAATATGATAAGATTGATAACTAAGTTGAGCACGAAGCTCCTATCTAATGGCAGACGTGCCAGTCTTATATAGAACCTTCGTTCTCTGTGACGACACGTACGAGATGTTGCTCAGAGAGCGTCCAAGGTGTAGGTGTGTGTTGGTGTATGTTCGCTGGGAGGAATGCTCGTCTCGTTGCGTGGTGATATCTAGGACTCTTTAGTCACTAGATCTTCTCAATTCCTTTTGAAGAGCACTGCGGCTGGGCAATTGAGGATCGTGGGGTCCTTCTATCACGCTGGATAGACAGGCAGGGAGATTATCTATAGCCTTCCCAGGCAGTGTTGGTGAGCTTAGAATAATGTGACGACACGTACGAGATGTTGCTCAGAGAGCGTCCAAGGTGTAGGTTATGGAATCGTAGAACTGTCTATTCGAAGATTCTAAGCTAAAGAGAGAAGAGAAGAAAGGACAGAAGTCCAGGAGCTGGAAGCTCTTATATACAGGAGGGGTACCAAGGGTTATAGCTAACCGAGCCGGGCTCGGGAAGCACGGCGGCCGACGGGTGCCAGCCAGGGGCTGGTTTGAGGCATGGTGGCGGTGAGAACCGTCACATTCTCTCGATGTTCGCTCGTTCGACAATCGAACTGGCTAACTTCGCCTGTTCGCCCGGCTAACTGGCGAACTCCTAATATCACGTGATAACAATACAGAGAAATCCCTGGATCGCTTAGCTACTCCAAACGATCCCTATTTGCTATAAGAAACCTGGATGTGCCTTTCGAGGGTTGCACCTCTTATTATGACAAGTATCACGTGAACACGTGATTCGTGACATCGAGTATAAATAGAACTACTAGGAACCTAACGTTAGGGCTAAGCCTTAGCGCTATATATATTCTATATAAAGGGATAATATAGCTAGGTTTTTTGACTTGATAGAAACTTAGACTATAGACTCTAGTGTCACGAATCACGTGTTAACACGTGAAGAGTGAAGACCAGGCGGCGCCCTGACAGGTCAAGCACATCCGTAGACTTATAGCAAATGGGGATCGTTTAGGTTAGCTAAGCGATCCAAGGATTTCCTTGGACTAGGGATCACGTGACGAGCGACATGGTCGACTCGTCGACCATGGCGACCACAGAGAACGAAGGTTCTATATAAGACTGGCACGTCTGCCATTAGATAGGAGCTTCGTGCTCAACTTAGTTATCAATCTTATCATATTAGTTTTGACGTCTTTGATACAAGTAACGAGTTCACTTCCAAGTGAACAACCCGATAGTCTTCTTCTTATCATAGCATACCAACCAGCGAACACCCAGCCAAGTTTAGTTAGCCAGTTTGAGTATTCGTTACATCTAGTACTCTAGTAATAAGATATACAGAGCGCTCGTAGAATAATATTAAGGAGAACTTATTAGTCCCGAGTAATAAGTCCTTTTTTCACATCTTTTAGTAGTGAGGATATTATACCTTAATATTCTAGAATTAGAGTTTACTAGGCACTTGGTTCTATACGTAGACGGACACTTAGGCAGCCAAATATGGCCCATATAATATGCCATTTGACGATATTGCGGCTTAATATCGTCTCGAAAAACAGGCCCTAAAATGTTTAGCCCAAGCGGTATGCATTAATGGCAGACGCAAGTACTTATTCGTGATGTCTTTTCTTTCCATACACAGCTCTTGTTTCAATTCAATAGAGTTCAAAGAACCTAAATACTCTAGGATAAATTTTGACTGAAAGCTAGAGTTGCATTAGAAGAGGAACTGTAAGTCGCTCTACAGGTGAGTAACCAATCATCTAACTCAAATTCTAGGTTCGTAGGGAGAGATAGAAAAGTTATTCCGTTCAATGGGTTCGCCTCTACAGGTATTACCCCACACCTGTGCACTCCCGCCCTGCTG